AATAAATAGTCAAACTGTGCCATTAAAACTTACCTCAGCAGTAGTGCCGCAATCAGTAGTGGCCAGTGCTCGATGAATACCCATCTGCGCTATTCCATTCACAACCTCTCTTAGGGCCAAACAACTGGTGTTTTCTAGCCTTATATTTGTTGTATCATAACGGTTTTTTTCCAGCCAGCACTTTGGCACCAATATATTAAATTTTCCTCCATCACAAGTAACATTTGGAGATGGATTGGCAGCTGAAAAAAGAGTAAATGCATTCAGCAATTATCAGATGAGAAGGTGATGGTGACGTACTTCTTGGACGTTATCTTTAAAATGTCTATTAAACGTTTCTCCCCTACATAACACTACAGGAGTTTTCTATGTTTAGGATGACACGAGTGGTCAGGGACTGGGGAGAAATATAAATGCCATAACGTCTATGGGGGTCTATAGAGGTGTACTTATAAAAAGCTTGCTCTGCAAATGTCTGTGTTGTAGAGTAACACTGCATTATGGCCACTAGATAAAGCTGAGGAACATGCTGGAGAAATTTCCTGACTCTGACAGCCATAGGCATGACTTGCAGAGGCCGATGCATAAAGAGATTTGTAGTTTCAGCACAGCTGGAGTGCTGAAGTTGCTTACCCCTAGTATAGGGAGTACACAGGAGTCTATTTAGGACTTCCCCTCTACAGACCCCCCCAAACCACAAATCTGGGAGCAAAAATTGATTGTTCCTTTAAGAATGAGATCAGCCCATGAGCAATATTTTGGCTTGGAACCCCTTCTGACCATTGTATTATAGCATACCATACCTGAATATGTATAGTAAGTGTTATTGCACAGGCAGTCAGTGGCACCGCTGTTACAAGCCTCATCATTTCCACAGGCGACACTTCCACAAGTTAAAGATGCAGTCACTGGAGAGACAGAAAGAAGACATCAGTACCTAGTAAGACCTTTTTAATATACAACATGGTACAGTATTTGAAAGCAAAACTGGGTTTTGGATGTTGACACAGGTTCTGTGGCTTCTTGTTGATCTTATAAGTGAGTTAGGGGGACATAACCTTATAATGTTTATGTTTTGGATTTTGCTTCTTTTGTTTATGTGTTTTATTTATACTGTATGCTTTTCATGCAGCTCTGAAATTCTTTGTTTGTATCAGTTCTGACAAAATTAATAAAACTATGTTTAAAAATAAAGACATTAGTACATTCAAAGGCTTCTATATGACAGTCTAAACATGTCTTGAATCCAGTTACTACGTGACACAAGAGCCTCATAAATTAAAAGAAAGCTTTTTTTTTTTTTTACCTTCTTTGACCAAATTCTTCTTCTTTTGTGTCTCACACGCCCCCTCCCAGACACTGCAGCTCACAGTGGGAGGGTTGCTGCAGCACAGTAAGTTCTGCCAATCCAGAAAGCATTGGTTGAGACTATGTGATTATGTGACTATGGTTGAGGCTGCTGATTGTCAAGCTACACGCTTTGAAATTAGCAAAGACAATGCTGATAGCCATGCCACCTGCATCATACTGTAGTGTGTGCAGACACAGCCTACACAACTCTGCTCTGAATTCAGGAGCAGTGCAGCAGTGTTGTCCCCATCACAGGAAGCTGTAATAGGTGGACTTAACTGGCAGGATCAATAGGTGTTTGTGGGACCTTGCAGGAGGCTAAGAGACAACTGCAAGCACAGATGAATTTAAAATTAAATGCCACAGAACATATTTTTTTGCAATAGAAGGGCATAATTCTTTGTACTATTCTAGTTAAAGTCTTTGTAAACCCAACACATAATCTTCCTTTTGGTCCGTTAAATATAAAATAAAAAACATTGTATTATATCTGTTCTCAGTATGCAAACAATACCCACTGTAAGAACTGGTAAGCTGCAACATATTATGTTTTGTTCTTTTTTTTTTTTTTAATATTACAATGTTTTATTAAACAATCACAAACAAAAAAAGCCATACAAATATATATATATACAATATAGACATTACATATCCCCATGCACATAGCATCAATCATTAATGCATTAATAGAGTCTCTTCTCTTTTCTCGTCCCTTCGCTCCCTCCCTTCTGCTTTGACCCACATCAATATGCAATCTATTTTACAGGCACTGAACATTTTTGTTTTAAAATCCCCCCAACATAAATTACTCACATCCACAAAAAAAAAAAGAAAACGAAAAGAGAAAAAAAAAAGAATACCCCAGGTGAATACCCATTAATATTCATGCCCAGTAGGCCATTTAATTACATTTTATCCATATAATTGTACCTGTGTATACTCTCTCTGAGACTGGGACCCTCCACATTTAATTTTTCAAAGATTGCTTATTTTTACCTTTTACTTTTACCTTGTTTTTCACTATAGGTATTTTTAGTTTCAGAATTAACAATTATCTCTGAAAAGTAACCATGGAGACCAGGTTGCATAAAATCTATCATCTCTGTCATAGAATTGATCTGTTAATTCCTCCGTATACATCAGTCGATCCAATTCCATTTTCTATTCCCCCATACCAGGAACCACATTCGTTTTCCAATGTCTTGGAATGACTGCCCTTGCAGCTATCAAAAATTGTTCTTGGGTTCCACTTTAGGATGATCGAGTATCTCCCTGGCTTTTTCTCTGTTTATTTCTCCTTCCCTGATCTTACCCTCCAATCTGAAACCTCAGTTTTACAAATATCGCTGTCTCTGTATTCCAGATGTTCTATTGTAATGTACAAAAGGAGACAAAGCGCACTCACCTGCCATGGCAGCGCACAATACAGATAGCAGCAGTGCAGTCTTCATGGTTAACAGGGACCCTGGAAAATACATCCTAGGTAAATAACTACCCGCCCGTCGCCCAGAACTGCATGTGCCGGGCGTCATGAGATAGGAATTCCACATCCCTGCTGCCCCTCTACTACCTGCTGCCCCGAGGCCGGGCCTTGGTTGGCCTTATGGGAAATCCGGCCCTGGGTGCTGCATGTACTGTAATTGTGGGCAGCTGTATGCCGTCCTGAATCTGCACGTCTGTGCAAGTCCAGGTTCCTACCCTTGGATGCACACTCTCTGCGTCCAAGCCTAGGCTCACGGGCCTGCACAGATGTGCAGGTCCAGGTCAGCATCTAATAATGCGTAACCACATGCAGCCATGTCCTCCTATAGGGATGTACAATTACATGCAGCACCTGTCTCTCCGGGGAGCAGGTTTTGGCACCAGCGTGCACGAAGTATGGATGCGCACATCCGTGTGAATGAGCCCTTAATGGTGCCCATTCACACCTGAGCGTTGGATCACTTTTATTGTCTTTTGCTTGAAGCCTAAAAAAAGTACATGAGCTTTGTTGGGGGGAAAAACTGGGCCTTTTCTGTCCCTATAGATTTCAATGGGAGAGTTTGAAAAACAATTTTGAGCCAAAAACTAGTAATCAGCTTTCCATTGGCCAGAACAAAATGCTCAAGCTGAAAATCACTGTGAATGGGGACTTATACAATATAGCTCAAATTAAACAAAATACAACAAAAGAAAAATAGATCTATATACAGTATATTCCGATATTCATTATTATAATGGATTATGTAACAAATCCAGACTTCCCAGTACTATGAGAGGAAAACATAATATAAGGCATAGGATGTCACGCTGTTAGAGGATGAGCTGTCTAAAATACCTATAAATAACCGATTAGACTCAAACCTGAAACTGATTGTACAATCGCCTTTAGATCTACCAGCTACAGTATAAAATCCAAGGGTCTACCTGACTGGATACAAAATTAATGCATATTTAGGTTGCCCGTATATTAAATGGTTTGGTAAACCTAAAGCTGAACACACACACACTGCAATCTGACTCTTCAAGCTCTTTTAGATCTACCAACAACTACATGATTGGATACACATTGATTGGATAGTTAGGTAGGTCCTTATATAAAGCAGCTCAGAGGTAATCAAAACCAAACAATTAACTTGATATCCAGTGAACTAGCACTCTAATGAAGAGTCATCCATGGTACCCTCCATTACTCCCTATAAATCTTATTATACTGTACAAACAATTGTAAGGTGTATGCCCAGCCTCAGATAAAGACATTTCTATTCTCATTGTCTTCCATGAGTTGAAAATGATGTAGAAATCAAAGATTTTATACTAACCGACAAGTACGATTTGCAAATGTCCCGGGTCTGTGAGCACCTTCCAGGTACTTAATGTCCTTCTAACAAAGTTATCGGTCTCTTGAGCTTTGCTGCTTTAAGGAAAGGCAGTTGGATGGTGGTGGTGGCTCTGTGTACAATTACCAGCCACTCGGCTACTTATATACTGGTTGGCCCAGATGGAATGCCATGCGTCTGCCTTGCGAACAAAGTAAAAGGTGGAGGTTAGATGACGTTTGAAGAAACGGGCCTCTCCCAGTCAGGACTTAGCCCCAAGCTGTCACGGTTTAACTTTAAAGCAATTTTTGTCTTGCTGATGTATTTCTCTTGGGGCGTTTACCATTTATAGCCTGTATGAAAATGTCAGCCTTTTCCATTGCTAAATAATCGACTAGTTTAAATTCTTGTTTAATACCCAACTTCAGCCAATTTTTTAAAATTGTTGTTCATCACTTTTCAGTGCTCGTCATCTATTCACAATGGCTGCCTATAAAGGCAGTTTTCGTAGAGTCCGTGTAAATCCTCACAAGGAACATCTTTTATTTACCACCTTTTGGTCTGTTACATATACAATAAAGAGTGTGTTGTTATATCTGCGCTATGCAATCGTATGTGGAGCTGTGTTGTCAGCCCTGCTCAGTTCCCTTCTGTGACTATAGAACACCTCCCTCTGTGCTATGGAGATGACAGATGAGCTAAAAGCCCATATTACTTAGCTAAATTTGTGGTCACTTGATGTCTGAGATCCTGACTCTTCTCCTCTTCCTACAGAAGAGTAGGAAAGTCCTTCCTTGGACATGGACAATTAATGCTTTCCAGTGGTGGGGTCCTCTCAGAATCCAGGCAACTTCACAATGAGAAGACACCATCACAGTGGGACAGGTTGGTGTTGGCACAGACTATGGTCTTCCTCATGGAAGCGGCACCAGCAAGCAGCACAGATAGAAGACTTAGGTACATGAAATGCGCTTTTCTATGGCATGGATAGGGGGAATGGGTGGGACGGTTGGAGGGGAATGGGTGGGACATGTTGGGGGGAACAGGTCGGAAGGATAGGGGAGAGATGGGTGGGAATGGGTGGGAATGGGTGGTGGGGGAACTGGTGGGATAGTTGGAGGGGAAATGGGTGAGACGGATAGTGTCATAGACTTACCCGGACCGGAGCGCCGTCGCCGCGGCCCGACGTCTCGGCTGTGATGTCACGGCCGACTCCTCCCACTGGGTGCGGCGCCTCCTCATAATCACAGGTGAGTCAGTCACTCGGCGTTCTATCGTTGTGGAACGTCGAGCGACTGACTCTGTGTGAAACAGAGCCACAGACCGCCTTAGCCTTAGAGTGGGGGTTCAGCCTTCATACCTGGACTCAGCTCCTGACCATCCGCTGAGGCTCACCTCTGCCTTACCAGGATACCACCTGATCCACCTGAGCTCACTCCACACCAGAACCACAAGTACTAGGGGATCTTCCCCCTCCTATTAGTAGCCACTTCGAACCATACCCTGCTAAAATACTATTGATGAACTGTGTCTGTTAGTACAGATTGTACTTGCTAAATTATAGTTGTTACGGATTGCATATCTTGCTCAGGCTGGGACAAATCTATCATAGATACTACACTGTAAAGCTTTCCAAAGTAAACTAGTGGACGCTACTGGTTAGTTCACCTCACTATTGGTTACAGAGGAGTGGATGCGGTTATAAGCAAGCACCTTCCTGTGACTCCTTCCAGGAAACTACAACTCACCTCACGCCTCCACTTTTGAATAGATATCCTGATTACTATATACTCTAGCTTAAACTGGACCCACATTGGTCCATATTCAGGTAACACTTTTAGGACGGGTACATGATGTGGAACGGTCTCCCATCGCACTGAGTGTATTGGGGTTCCACCAGACTGACCGAACCCTGACTCATAGGGTGTTAGTTCCGCAACTGAGATCCAGGAGAGTATTGCCCTGCTGGACTGTGACAGAGAGAGGGGAAGGAGGGGTGGTAGAGAGCAGCTATAGTTTTAGTGTAGGGTAAGCTGTTGCAGGGCAAGATGACGGACTGCAGAGGGCAGAGATTAGGGTCAGTACTTTAATTCTGATTGCTAGCTCTTTGGACAATCAATCCCTTTGCTGCCTTTTTCTGTTTTTATTATTTATTTTGTCTTATTTTGTGACCCTTTAAAAAGAAAGATCAAAGCCACAAAAGAAGTCAATACTGGAGTTTAAGTGATGTTTGTGCTTTTGAGATCTGCTATGACAGAGGTAGCCTATACTAGGGCCACCACTCTAGTATAGTATGGAGCCACCAGCCCAAGGGGAGGGGGGGGGGCACGCCTCCCTGTTCTCCAGATCACACTGTCCCCAAGGTAGTGGAATGTTACAGAAAGATCCCAACAAAAGGATTGCACATAATGTTTAAACATATCTGTCCAAAGTCTTGAAGTTCTCCTCCAGTTCTCAGTTGTCTCCCAATGGAGGGAAGAGATTGCTTTTCTCCTTCCCGGTGGAGCTGACATATCTGGATGTTAAAAGTTTAGAACTATGATCACACCAAAGTGTTCTTTGCAGAGGATTAAAATGTATCTAAAGGCACAGCGTTTTTCTTTTGTTTGTAGTTTTGGATAGAATGGTGAGGGACTGGAACCTCTATCAGAGTATTTTTTTATTCAACGTCAGAATGCACGACATCACAGAAAATGAAACTTTAAAATAACAGATTCATCTCTAAAAATCTTTTTATAGACACGTTCTGTTTACTCTATTGTGTCACAATTCTAAGAAATCTTCTGATGTATAATAGGTATGTAGTACACTCCGGGGTAAGGTTTGACTATTTCTGGCACAATTCCCAATTATATAAGTGCTATAAGAAATACCATTTTGCATGCTATTGTAAATGGAGGTATGGGCAGCGAAATGGTGAAACTAAATGTACTGTAAATACATAAAGAATATTTGAACCTAAGCTGTGGTATTCATTTATGTTGGAAGCTAGACAGATGGAGCTGGGGAAAAAATTGTAGGGTACAATTTACATAGTTACATAGTATATGAGGTTGAATAAAGACACAGGTCCATCAAGTTTAAGCTTTGTGTGTCTGTGTGTGTTGTGCATGTGTATGTGTGTACATGAGTCCCTGTATGCTCTTAGTTTTTAGGAGTACCTGTACTACTGTATGTTACGGTCTCTGAGGACAGTATCTAATTGATTTTTGAATGAATCAATATTCTCTGCTGATACCACTGCTTGTTGCAGAGAGTTCCAAAATGTGCCCGCTCTGTCAGAAAAGAAGCCCCTTCACCCTTCATGGTTAAATCTCTTCTCCACTCCAATTTTAGGTGGTGGCCTCTAGGAATTTTAAGTTTTAAGGGGGTTAAAATAGAACTAAACACTCCAAAAAAGCATTTAAGTTTTATACAACACTGGTAGTAAAATAGATTTAAAAACAAAAAAACAAAACTACAGTTTTTTTACTTGTTTTGTTTTGTTTTGTTAGTATGTGCCAACTTAATGTGCATTGGCACAGTTGCTTGTGATCCAACCTTTTGACATTACAGGGGCATGTGCAGCAACATGTTTGGTTCAAATCTTTAGGTTTAGATACACGTTTTTTCCTTGGGCCTCAGCTGTGTGCAGACAGTCTTCCCCGTTCCTGGAGGGCCAGTCATAGGGCTCAATGAACTTCAAAAACAGCAGGTGAGACTCGGACACTGCAGATTCTATTCAGACTGAGGTGACTGGAGGTGACAACGGTTTTATAGATTGGTGTTCCCAATTGTAGTGCATTACCCCCTCAATCAATTATACATAATACCCCTAGGAACAGAAAATTGGGCTTTTAAGGTGCTCACACACAATCGACAAATTACATCTGTAAAACGTCTATAAAAGCATTTAACATTTATTAGTATCGTTAAAAACTATCAATAACAATGTTTTAACAACTCTGAGAGATGTATTATTAATAAATTAATCTCAGTATTTAATAAATCTGAGATGTATATTATTGATTTTGGTTATACTATGTTTCTATTTTAAGTGTGAAACACTTACCTGTCTCCTGAGGAAGGCCCATATTATTTGGGGTGAAACACATTGAGAATAGGAGGACGCCATTTTAACTGCAACATCTCCACTGTTGAAGTTTCTTGCATCACCGTTTTGGACAACTTTACAAGTTGCATATGATAGGAATATTGAAAGACATTGTAGAACTAGAAGGTGGCTCGGCACCACCGCTATTCTTGGAAAGTGTGTAATGTGGAGACAATTGTTTGGCGTCCTCACCAGGCATGGTGTTACTCACAGTGAACAGTTGATAAATGTGTTTAAATTTGATAAATTTGACAGTTGAAAAATGTTTAAGCTTGTTCTTATTTTGATTTGAAAACACATAAAAACTGTACGATCATTAGGGGAGTCGGCAGTCCATGACTTGAAAGCTCATCCCCACCCTTGGGCTGAATAAAACCTTATCTGATTTGAAGCTACTACAGACGTTTCTGTTATGGCTTCCTTATACACTAGACTTCAAACACTGCAGCTTCCCATAGACCAGGGGTGCCCATTAGGTAGATCGCGATCTACCAGTTGATCGCAAAGTGAACACTGATAGATCGCGATCGGCTCACTGACCTGTGCTCCCTCCCGCAGCCCTAGTGCGGCTGAATGTGTCAGACGCTGCAGACAGGAAGGGGCGGGACACCTCTCCCCGTGTGCAGCATCGGCCACACGAGCACAGCCGGAGGACAGGACGGCGCACATGAGGAGACCTGGGAAGCTGCTGCAGTGCAGGTAAGGAAAGACAGCCAGGAGAGAGAAGAGAGATAGCAGAGAGAGAGAGAGAGAGAAGAGACAGCAGAGAGAGGGAGAGAGAGAAGAAACAGCAGAGAGAGAGAGAGGGAGAGATACAGGGGTGAGAGAGAGCGTGAGAGAGAGGCAGTAGTCCCAGTAACGATTTTAATGTGCTTGTTTTTTAGATAAAATGTTTTTTTTTTCCGTTGGTAGATCTCATTGAGCTCGCCATTTGAAAAGTAGATCTCCAGACGAAAAATTGTGGGCACCCCTGCCATAGACATTAGATGATCTTTGCTTGATTCCAGTTGAATTGGGATATGACTCCATGTCTATGAGCTCCTCCCATCTTCTGCAGATATCTCTAAGGTTGGCCACATGCTAGATGTTTTGAGTTTTGAGTTTTGTCTATATCCATTTACAGTAAATAATTAATTTCTAGTGATTTGTGCCAGCTTTGAGTCCACATTACTGCCCATTAGCCCTGAAGAAGATGGAGGTCAATGAGCCCCTGAAACGCATTGGCTGTTCCGTTTTGTTGTTTGTATATCAATTCTATTATTAAAAATTGTTAGACTCTCTACCCAGGGATGCATCACCCTGACGCCAAGTGAAGCCTTGCTGAATGTCAGACCGAATTACCTTTACAAGTGTGGATTTCAACTTTTAACACACATGCATACAGCATCGAAACAGGTATTAGCCAGTGCCTGGCTTTCTGATAGTCTGTGTATCTCAGCTGTCCAAAATAGGCTCCATTGGGTCATGATTAACGAGAAGCTGACGGCTAAATTACTAGGTAGTCTTCCCAAATTCAGTAGGATCTGGGAGCCGTGGGCCTCTAACTTTCTCCCGCCTACCTTCGACAGGTCCCTTCTGAGCACTTAACTTTGGGATCACTTTTTCGATAGTACATGCTCTACCGTGCACAATCTCTGGTTATACCCGGTCTTCCCAGATAGACTGGCATACGCATCTACACAATTATAGATTGCAATTACTGGTTACCATTGATCTGACGCAATATCGACTCTTGATAGGGGTGGGTCAGTATGTCATCCAGGCATCTAGCATTTTCAGAAAGAAGTCAGTGATTACATCTCTCATATTTGTCTTCTGAAAGGTTTACCTGAATGTTTGTGCTTTGGGCATTATTTTATTTTGTACATATTTCGAGTAAGTGCCTGGGTGACGTGACGTCTATAACATTCTGCGTATAGTTCTGCTGAGATTTACCAACCCAGCACGTGACAAGGTTTTAACGATGTTGTGCAACGCTGGATCAGGACTTCTGGTCAGACCTCATTCTTAGCACACTTTGCGTTCAACCCCATCCAAAGAGTTCTATTTTATTTTTACATTAATGAAATGAACATAAAAGTTTTGTTTTTTTGCTGCGACAAGCTGCTATGTCCACTGTCAGCTGCAGATGGTTGTGGTGACCATCTTCCTACATACTGACTAGCTAAAGGAGACCCGCAAACAGATAGGGAGGACAGTGGTTCGGGAACAAGCTAGGGAAAGAGGAAAGAGACAATATAAAAGAAGAACAATAAGATAATGTAAGTGTGGACCATCTCTCTTCCTAACAAAAAACTCCAAGGGTTTAATATAACTTATAGAACCTCCTGAGCCAACTGAATGTAAAGACAAAGAAACAATTTGCATTAAATGTCTTTAAAGTTTATTAAGTTTAGAAGTACAGAGCATATTCTTAATTGATACAAAATATCCATTATGTGGTACACTCCATTAACTTTTGTTATCCTATAATAAATAAATAAATATAAAAAGCTGAAGTAACAAAGCAGGCACCTCTACTGTACACCGAAATAGCAGGATATCAGCGCTTTACAGAGTAAGCATTAACAGGACGTTTAGTGGCAACGGCAGCCGCAGACATTTTTTTAAAGTATCTTTATATATGATGCAGCCAATAACAGAAAAATAACTATGATACAAGATTCCTTCATAACTTCGCTCTTTGAGAGCCTTGGAGGTTGACGTTATGACGAAGCCTCATGGTGCTCAGGGTGGTTGTAGTCTTGGAGAGGTTACATCAGCTTCACCAAGATCCAAGAGAAAAGCAGAGCAGGCAAAGTCCAGGGCATGGAGAAACCTAGGACAAGACATAAGTCATATTATAAATGTAGCATGAAGGGTTGTCAACTTTTAAAGGAAGGTGTTCTAGTCATATGAGAATTCCTATGTTGTCAGTGAAGTTGCAGTCTGTTGAAAGTCAACTTTTATACCAGATTTTAACAATGTGATCTTTAGCATTGAGAATGAAAAAAGTGTATGTCTAGCCAATACTTATATTTTTGGGTAGAGTGGCAATAAAATTAGAACCCCTGTCAGATTTGCTGTTACAGGGTATCTATAGAGAGATTTACCCTCATTTACTGTCATGGTGACAATGGTTTCACCAGACAGGAAATAAGGAAAAACCTGAGAAACAAAATCAATTGTTTCAGAAACAGGAGTCCAATCTGACAGGGGTTCTTGCCTTCCCCAGCTCTACGTAGTCCTTCTCTTCTCTATCCAAAGCTAAAAAAAGTTTTAGCTGGTCGTACGCTTTAATGAAGAGATCGCCCTCCCAAAAGTGAAGTCCGGTCACTGACATCAACAAATATCATACAAAAAACCCCATTTAATGCACATACAATGATGCTGAGGGTCACAGGGCATTATGCGTTTTCTAAAGTCAGCACAACTGAAGCTGTTTGTCTTCAGACTGTCTCTCTCTAATTGAAAACCTTTGTTCTGAGGCTTTTTAGTAAAACTAATATAAAAATGCATTTAAATATCTAGATTGAGATATAACCCATAGTCACTGACATTCCTAAAATTAGGCAGGTGTACTGGTTGAAAAAAACATGGGGCACATTGGGGACTTTATATATCTCTGTGGTGGGTTTAATATTGTTGTGGCCGCAAACAGGAATCGGCATAGGCTCAAAAGGAGACATTTTTGCTTTGCTGATTGGTAGGCAATCCGGTGACCTGCATACAAATATGCTGGCTAGGAGCATGCAGGTCGGTAGTATACAGTAGGAGAAGAGGACACAATGAAATGAAGGTGACCTTATTGGTGTAATAATGCTCCTTCACTGCCCAACTAGGAGACTGGGCGTGGGGAGAGGACACCACTGTAATAGAGGCAAGAGCTGCCAGCTTTCTTGTTGTGCTGTGTGTCAGAGCTGTGTAAATCACAATATTGGATGGACAGACATCTGTGAATTGAGACGTTTGCCTGCAGTTCAGCATGAAAGATGTTTATCTATGCCAGTTCCTGATCAGTGATGTGGCATTAAAAAAAAACATTAAAATGAAATAAAATGTACTTACTGCTAGCAGAACTGAAATCTGCAAAGCGTTCGGCTGGAAATCAAAAATACATATTTGTTAATTGGAGACATGAAACTGAACTGATACTCATTCTACAGCAGATATCATATTCACTGTATTCTGCAAACATTGTGTTATAGTATATGTACCCCGTAACATGTAACTTCTCTGCTGTGTTCCCTTTTGGTCCTTTTCAATACACCAAACGCTTTGTTATATCTGTTTGATAAGTGCATTGATCTGTTGATCTTGCCAAAAATTTAGAGCTGCCCTGTGTCCTTCTGGCACTTCCTGTGTTATCTCATGTCTAATCAGCCCTCCAAGTTCTTATTATGGACGACAAAGCCACCTCCTCCCTACGTTGGCACTGCAGGGATTCTTTAGTTGTGCACAAGACAACTGGGCAGGGCTGACACAATTTCTCTCTTTCTTCCTGTTCAGGTGACAGGTGTCAGACAGAACAAGAAGTGAGGGAAACCCCCCTTCCCTAAGGGAACAAAGACAGCAGTTATAACTTGACAGATGTTTTAGCCCTCCATCGCTTTATCCAAATCGTAAAAAAATTTTTTTGCCAGAAGTTGGGCTTTAATCTATGTGAACCGAAGAATTACTGTTACAAAACTGCCAACATGAGATCACTTACATGGCTGCAAAATGACACTGACGGTTGCTCCACTTTCCTCGGATTTAGCTGATTTGGATTGAGCGGTGCAGTTCTGAAACGGAAAAAATAAAGGTAATTCAACAACAATTTCCAGGCAACAAGCAAAATCAATCAAGGAACTACAAAATCTATGCAGGGAGCACTGCACCTATGCTAAAGTCACAAAGTCCACTTCTTGCTTTTTAATACAAGCTCTGTGCTCTCCCCACAAGGGACACAGCGGACAATGGGGGGGGGGGGGGGGGGGGGGGAACACCACCACACAATAACATGCACCGCAGCAGAAGGGGGGGGGGGGGGGGGGGGCGGTCAACCACACACCAAGTTCTCTCATCACTCTGATGGTGATACTTCCCTAAGATAGGTTGCTTTTCATCCTTCCTCCACATTGGCTTCACAAAGGTTTCAGTCTTTTAAAGCTGTATTCCCCAATTGCTTTTTGATTCAACTTAACCAGAAAATGGTGTACATCGGAATCTGGTCTACATGACTAGAATCTAGTCTACATGACTGGAATTTGGTCTACATGGCTAGAATCTGGTCTACATGAGTGGACTCTGGTCTACATGAGTGGAATCTGGTCTACATGAGTGGAATCTGGTCTACATGACTGGAATCTGGTCTACATGACTAGAATCTGGTCCACATGGCCAGAATCTGGACTACATGACTAGAATCTGGTCTACATAAGTGGAATCTGGTCTACATAAGTGGAATCTGGTCTACATGACTGGAATCTGGTCTACATGACTGGAATCTGGTCTACATGACTGGAATTTGGTCTACATGGCTAGAATCTGGTCTACATGAGTGGAATCTGGTCTACATGACTGGAATCTGGTCTACATGACTAGAATCTCGTCTACATGAGTGGAATCTGGTCTACATGACTAGAATCTGGTCCACATGGCCAGAATCTGGACTACATGACTAGAATCTGGTCTACATAAGTGGAATCTGGTCTACATGACTGGAATTTTGTCTACATGGCTAGAATCTGGTCTACATGAGTGGAATCTGGTCTACATGACTGGAATCTGGTCTACATGACTAGAATCTCGTCTACATGAGTGGAATCTGGTCTACATGACTAGAATCTGGTCCACATGGCCAGAATCTGGACTACATGACTAGAATCTGGTCTACATAAGTGGAATCTGGTCTACATAAGTGGAATCTGGTCTACATAAGTGGAATCTGGTCTACATAAGTGGAATCTGGTCTACATGACTGGAATCTGGTCTACATGACTGGAATCTGGTCTACATGACTAGAATCTGGTCCAAATGGCCGGAATCTGGACTACATGACTAGAATCTGGACTACATGATCAGATTTTCAAAATAAGCTGCAGGGGCACCCTACTGACCATGCCCACTTTTAGTGGTGGCTTGGGTGGGGGTGGGGTAGGGTGTTGGAACTTGCATATGGCAAGCTTTCATACATGAACTCTGGTGGCCGTTCTCAGAGTAAAGAAATGACATCACTCATTTATCAGAAACAAGACTTCAGGATACTTGTGTGTATATACGGCCAGGCCACTGGGATCTGAAATCAGATTATCAGAAGGAAGGGGAAATTTTAAACATACTTAAATAGCAGACAACCATTAAATCAAATAAATGCTTTTTCTAACCCCTAACATGGCACCCTCAGGCCAGTGGCAACACACCCAGGGCTAGAAATTGCCTTGGGTTTTGATGGCCCCTTGGACTAATGGGCAGCTGACTATTTTGCCATTGCTGCTCTTTCAGACTTAGGAATCACAGAACACCCTCTATTTGTATGTTGAGTCTTACCCGGGCACAACTAGTATCTGAGGCTTTGCAGACTACAACATCGGCAAAGAGACGGACACTGCTAGAACCAGCAATCTGGAAGACTTTCATTCGAAACCGAGCTTCATTATTATTTCCATTGTTTATCACGTATAGCAGGTCAGCAGTTATACCGGTAGCTGGGCACCTGGATAAAGAAACCTTTCATCAGTTTTCAATTACTGTAGTCTGTATTTTAAAGATTAGAACACAATACTGAACACAGAATATTCAAAGTGTACAAAGAACAGACAGAATTGTTTCCTAGTGTTCTGCGTACTTACTCATCCACAAGAAGATTGTACTGGGTCGCATTTGATCCATCACCAGTGGCATAAATCCTCACCACTTTGAGTTTAAAGGAGCCAACATCCAGTTCTGGTATGATCACTGAAATGTAGATAATTTGTTCCACGTAGAGATCAGTAGTAGATGAGAGAGCGGTAGTAAAGGTGTCATCTGTATAGGCCACCATGTTAACTGTAAAACTTGCGCTTGAACCAGGAACGGTTATTTCTGTGCTCCTGGAAAAGAAAGACAAAACAAAAGCTTACTTGCCAGGAAACCCTTGTAGATATGTGTGCATGCATCTATGTTATTGTACATGGGTATGCAGAACTGAAATATTTTCACTTGGGGTGTACTAATGAAAGTGGTGAAGCTGATATACAAATTAAGGACAATATCACTTGGGACAGATGGCTTACAGTCACTCACTTATCCTCAAAGAGATGAGCTCAGTTCTATCCAAGCTTTTGTTTCAAACTTTTTGAGATGTGGCGCAAGACAATTGTGGTGCCATTATTTAGGAAAGGGTAAAGGTCGTCTCCCTGTAACTAGAGACCTGTAGGAGTAAGTTGTACTGTAGGGGAGAAACTTGAAGGTTTCCTAAAGGAGCACATACAAGAGTAATGTGCTAGAATGCAAAATTATAAGAGATAGCCAGCATGGACTTCTGAAAGATTGAAGATAAATAATAACAATTACCCAAGAACTGGATTCAGTGAAATATTAAAAGTGACGTTATTACTATTCAGCGGGTATGTGCAGGAAATGTTCATGACAACATTTTTTCGTGTTATAATTGGAGACATCTTGGCAAAAATATACAGCCGATTGCTGTATGTGACATGAGTCGCGTTTGACTGTAGAGAAAGGAAACACAAAAGTCATTAAACAGAGTCAGAGAACTTACCACCCTACAGCTACCTACACATCAGCAAATAGTTACTATTAATGTCATTGTATTCTCTGAGAAGTCAAAAAGAAAGTCTCCAGATTGGTTGAAGCAAAACTCCAGCCAAAAACAACTAAATAAAAAAGAAAAACCTGTCAAAAGATAGAAAAAAACAAAACATCTTTTGCCAACGCTCCAAGCTCGCTCCTGTGACACACTATAATCTCACTTTCAGTTTACTCATTTTTTTGAAGTTATAGTCTATTGCAGGAGGGAGCTTGGAGCGGTGACTACTTTATAACACACACAGGGACCATGGGGAACAAAAGTAGCCACCCTCCAGAAGGAAGGACAGTGTCTGCACCAATTCAGAAATGATTTGAGGATCTACAGCCAAGTGATACACAAATAAGATACATTGTTGTTAATCATTAATGTACTTGAATGTATTTTTAAGATTTAGCTCCTGAGTTTAGTGTCACTTTAATAATGTAACAGTTTTTACATCTCTTGTATAACAAATAGTCAAACTGTGCCATGAAAACTTACCTCAGAAGTAGTGCCGCAATCAGTAGTGTCCAGTGCTCGATGAATACCCATCTGCGCTATTCCATTCACAACCTCTCTTAGGGCCAAACAACTGGTGTTTTCTAGCCTTATATTTGTTGTATCATAACGGTTTTTTTCCAGCCAGCACTTTGGCACCAATATATTAAATTTTCCTCCATCACAAGTAACATTTGGAGATGGATTGGCAGCTGAACAAAAGAGTAAATGCATTCAGCAATTATCAGATGAGAAGGTGATGGTGACGTACTTCTTGGACGTTATCTTTAAAATGTCTATTAAACTTTTCTCCCCTACATAACTCTATAGGAGTTTTCTATGTTTAGGATGACACGAGTGGCCAGGGACTGGGGAGAAATATAAATGCCATAACGTCTATGGGGGTCTATAGAGGTGTACTTATAAAAAGCTTGCTCTGCAAATGTCTGTGTTGTAGAGTAACACTGCATTATGGCCACTAGATAAAGCTGAGGAACATGCTGGAGGAATTTCCTGACTCTGACAGCCATAGGCATGACGTGCAGAGGCAAATGCATAAAGAGATTTGTAGTTTCAGCACAGCTGGAGTGCTGAAGTTGCTAACCCCAAGTATAGGGAGTACACAGGCGTCTATTTAGGATTTCCCCTCTACAGACCCCCCCCAAGCTACAAATCTGGGAGCAAAAATTGATTGTTCCTTTAAGAATGAGATCAGCCCATGAGCAATATTTTGGCTTGGAACCCCTTCTGACCATTGTATTATAGCATACCATACCTGAATATGTATAGTAAGTGTTATTGCACAGGCAGTCAGTGGCACCGCTGTTACAAGCCTCATCATTTCCACACGTGGCATTTCCACAAGTTAAAGATGCAGTCACTGGAGAGACAGAAAGAAGACATCAGTACCTTGTAAGGCCTTTTCAATACAACATGGTACAGTATTTGAAAGCAAAACTGTCGAATACTTTGGGGGGTTTTGGATGATGACACAGGTTCTGTAGCTTCTTGTTGATCCTATAAGTGAGTTAGGGGGACGTAACCTTATAATGTTTATGTTTTGGATTTTGTTTCCTTTGTTTATGTGTTTTTTATGATACTGATCTTTGTATGTTTTTCATGCAGCTGTGAAATTCTTTGTTTGTATCAGTTCTGACAAAATTAATAAAACTATGTTTAAAAATAAATACATTAGTACATTCAAAGGCTTCTATATGGCAGTCTAAACATGTCTTGAATCCAGTTACTATGTGACACAAGAACCTCATAAATTAAAAGAAAGGTTTTGTTTTGTTTTTTCTTCGACCAAATTCTCCCTCTTTTGTGTCTGACACGCCCCCCTCCCAGACACTGCAGCTCACAGTGGGAGGGTTGCTGCAGCACAGAAAGTTCTGGCAATCCAGAAAGCATTGGACAGGACTAGGTGTGGCCAGCTGCTGATTGTCAAGCTACACGCTTGACATTAGCAAAGACAATGCTGATAGCCATGCCCCCTGCATCATATTGTAGTGTATGCAGACACAGCCTGCACCAGCAAGACAACTCTTCTCTGAATTCAGGAGCAGTGCAGCAGTGTTGTCTCCATCACAGGAAGCTGTAATAGGTTGACTTAACTGGCAGGATCAACAGGTGTTTGTGGGACCTTGCAGGAGGCTAAGAGACAACTGCAAGCACAGATGAATTTATAATCAAATGCCACAGAACATATTTTTTTTTTTGCAATTCTTTGTACTATTCTAGGTAAAGTCTAAACCCAACAAATAATCTTCCTTTTGGTCCGTTAAATATAAAATCAAAAACATTGTATTATATCTGTTCTCGGTGTGCAAACAATACCCACTGCAAGAACTGGTAAGCTGCAACATATTACATTTTGTTCTTGGGTTTAGATCCACTTTAGGATGATCGAGCATCTCCCTGACTTTTTCTCTGTTTATTTCTCCTTCCCTGATCGTACCCTCCAATCTGAATCCTCAATTTTACAAATATCGCTGTCTCTGTATTCCAGATGTGCTATTGTAATGTACAAAAGGAGATAAAGAGCACTCACCTGCCATGGCAGCGCACAATACAGATAGCAGCAGTGCAGTCTTCATGGTTAACAGGGACCCTGGAAAATACATGTGAGTTACCAATTTCTGGCGGCGAGTCACCGAAAAAAAAAGTTTTACATGCTTTTTATATTAATATATATATACACACATACACGCACACATACATATGGTTTATTGATGTGTTAAGCCCCCAAGTAACACCTGAACATTTTTCTGTTCCCCAAAACTCAGCATGAAGAATCTCATTCTTTTTACAGATCATTCACCCAGGCATGCACATCCCTACAGCAAGTAGGGACAGGACAACTGGTGAGGATGAGGCGGAACTGTACCAAAATAGATGATTTTTATTTACAATCACAAATTCTTATTGATAGATTTGTGAAAAAGGGGTATAATGGAGAGGAACTATATAACTTAAGAAAGAAGGTGGCAGAGATGGATAGAATGACCTTATTGAAACCCATACAAAAAGGAAATGAACCTTTCCCGATCTCTTTTATCACAGATTATTCAGGCCAAAACGACGGGTAAGGATACCTGGGGATATCCGCTAGAGTGCCCGGGAACCTTGCACGTATCGGTGAACTGATGGACCGGAATTACAGCTATTGAGAGGGGTTTGCTGTCCATATACTATCTGGTGAGTAACCATCGCTTGGGGGGCTTCAGATCGGGTGAAGAAAAATTGTGGAACTTTCACCAGAATAATCCATTTTTCATTTATATTTTATAATCTTTATTTTTCTATTGATAACTTTTTGATATATATATATAATTTTTGCTCATATATATATAAAAATTTTTTTGTCACATCACGGATTTAATTTTTTTTCGGAAAGACTTATGGTTTTCATTGTTTCATTTGTATTACATGCTTGATTGGTGCATATGCCTCATTGGTCTCACTGCTATTTTGCACTGTTTCACATATTTATGTATTTATTGTATGGGATGTACGAAAATTTTTTTAGTTCACCCTTTATATACTAGATTTTACGGTTTTTACATTGTGTTACTTTGTTACATTTTTTATTCACCTATTGAGTGGGGAATCCAGTTTTTATTTTGAATGTTTGCACATTAGCACTTTTCACAATTAATGGACACCTGTTCTCTGGTATTCCATACTCACAGGGGTAGGTCTCTTTGAAGACTTATCCACAGGGTTGTTAATTCAGGGTGTTTCATATATATCTATAAAATATTTTTTACATTTATCAAAAAACCTTTAGCGCTGTGACTACACTTCATATTTTCACATCCACACCTCTCATAGCAGCTTTAGGACCACTATTTGATTATTTTAGTTCATTTTCCAAGAGCGCAGATTTTTGTTGTAATCAATTGTGGGCAGCTGTCTGTACCTCCCTATGGGAGGATGCAGCTGCATGCTGTCCTGAACCTGTACATCTGTGCAAGTCCAGGTGCCTGCCCTTAGATGCACACCGTCTGCGTCCAAGCGTGGGCACTCGGGCCTGCACAGATGTACAGGTGTAACCACATGCAGCCATGTCCTCCTATAGGGATGTACAATTACATGCAGCACCTGTCTCTCCGGGGAGCATGTCTCGGCACCAGCGTGCACAAAGTATGGATGTGCACATCCGTTTGAATGAGCCCTTAATGGTGCCCGTTCACACCTGAGTGTTGGATCACTTATTGCCTTTTGCTTGAAGCCTAAAAAAGTGCATGAGCTTTTTGGGGGGCGAAAAACTATGCCTTTTTTGGCCCAATAGATTTCAATAGGGCCAAAAAAACAATTTTGTGCCAAAAACTAGTAATCAGCTTTCCATTGGCTAAAACAAAATGCTCAAGCAGAAAATGGCTGTGAATGGGGACTTATACAATATAGCTCAAATAAAACAAAATACAACAAAAGAAAATTAAATCTATATACAGTATATTCCAATATTTGTTACACATCCAGACTTCACAGTACTATGAGAGGAAAACATACTATAAGGCATAGGATGTCACGCTGTTAGAGGATGAGCTGTCTAAAAGACCTAAAAAAAAACGATTAAACTCAAACCTGAAACGGATTGTACAATCACCTTTAGATCTACCAGCTATGAAGTCCAAGGGTCTACCTGACTGGCTACAAATTGAATGCATATTTAGGTTGCCCGTATATTAAATGGTTTGGTAAACCTAAAGCTCACCACACACTGCAATCTGACTCTTCAAGCTCCTTTAGATCTACCAACAACTACATGATTGAATACACATTGATTGGATAGTTAGGTAGGTCCTTATATAAAGCAGCTCAGAGGTCATCAAAACCAAAGAATTAACATGATATCCAGTGAACTAGCACTCTAATGAAGAGTCAGCCATGGTACCCTCCATTATTCCCAATAAATCTAATTATACAAACAATTGTAAGGTGTATGCCCAGCCTCAGATAAAGACATTTCTATTCTCATTGTCTTCCATGAGTTGAAAATGATGTAGAAATCAAAGATTTTATACTAACCGACAAGTACGATTTGCAAATGTCCCGGGTCTGTGAGCACCTTCCAGGTACTTGATATCCTTCCAACAAAGTTATCGGTCTCTTGAGCTTTGCTGCTTTAAGGTAAGGCAGTTGGATGGTGGTGGTGGCTCTGTGTACAATTGCCAGCCACTCAGCTACTTATATACTGGTTGGTCCAGATGGAATTCCATGCGTATGTCTTGCGAACAAAGTAAAAGGTGGAGGTCAGATGATGTTTGAATAAACGGGCCTCTCCCAGTCAGGACTTAGCCCCAAGCTGTCACGGTTTAACTTTAAAGCAATTTTTGTCTTGCTGATGTATTTCTCTTGGGGCGTTTACTATTTATAGCCTGCATGAAAATGTTAGCTTTTTCCATTGCTAAATAATCGACTAGTTTCAATTCTTGTCTAATATCCAACTCCAGCCATTTTTTTAATTTTTTGTTCATCTCTTTTCAGTGCCCGTCATCTATTCACAATGGCTGCCTATAAAGGCAGTTTTCGTAGAGTCCGTGTAAATCCTCACAAGGAACATCTTTTATTTACCACCTTTTGGTCTGTTACATATACAATAAAGAGTGTGTTGTTATATCTGCGCTATGCAGTCGTCTGTGAAGCTGTGTTGTCAGCCCTGCTCAGTTCCCTTCTGTGACTATAGAACACCTCCCTCTGTGCTATGGAGATGACAGATGAGCTAAAAGCCCATATTACTTAGCTAAATCTGTGATCACTTGATGGCTGAGATCCTGACTCTTCTCCTCTTCCTCCAGAAGAGTAGGAAAGTCCATCCTTGGACATGGACAATTAATGATTTCCAGTGGTGGGGTCCTCTCAGAATCCAGACAACTTCACAATGAGAAGACAGGTTGGTGTTGGCACAAACTATGATCTTCCTCATGGAAGCGTCACCAGCAAGGGGCACAGATGGTGGATTTAGGTACATGAAATGCGCTGTTCTATGGGGGGGATGGGTGGGATGGATGGAGGGGAATGGGTGGGAAGGATGGGGGGGAACCAGTGGGGCGGTTGGAGGGGAATGGGTGGGATGGTTAAACCAATTACCCCACTAAAAGGAGGAAGGAGGGGTGCGTAGAGAGCAGCTATAGTTTTAGTGTAGGGTAAGCTGTTGCAGGGCAAGATGCAGAGGGCAGAGATTAAGGTCAGTTAGAAACTGTACTTTAATTCTGATTGCTAGCTCTTGGACAATCAATCCCTTTGCTGCCTTTTTCTGTTTTTATTATTTATGTTGTCTTATTTTGTGTTTGATTAAAGGTCAGTGGTCGATTTTATTCATTTTTTTTTTTTAGTGTAGGATATTATTTTTTCTTTAGTTTTGATTATTTAACTTTATTTAACTTTATTGTAGGTTACACTGCTTTTTTTCTGCAAGGCTTCTCTTTAAAAAGAAAGATCAAAGCCACAAAAGAAGTCCGAACTGCAGTTTAAGTGATGTTTGTGCTTTTGAGATCTGCTCTGACACTAGGTCCACCACTCTAGTATAGTATGGAGCAAAACGCCAGGGGAGGGGTGGGGGGCAAGCCGCAAGCCACCCTGCCCTCCAAACCACTCTGTCCCCAAGGTAGTGGAATGTTACAGAAAGATCCCAACAAAAGGATTGCACATAATGTTTAAACATATCTGTCCAAAGTCTTGAAGTTTCCCTCCAGTTCTCAGTTGTCTCCCAAATTCCCAATGGAGGGAAGAGATTGCTTTTCTCCTTCCCGGTGGAGCTGACATATTTGGATGTTAAAACTTTAGAACTATCACAACAAAGTGTTCTTTGCAGAGGATTAAAATGTATCTAAAGGCACAGCGTTTTTCTTTTTTTTTTTTTATACTTTTGGATATAGTGGTGAGGGACTGGAACCTCTATCAGAGTATTTATTATTCACCGTCAGAATGCACGACATCGCAGAAAATGAAACTTTGAGACCGAACTGATTCATCTCTAGAAATCTTTTTATAGACACGTTCTGTTTACTCTATTGTGTCACAATTCTAAGAAATCTTCTGATGTATAATAGGTATGTAGTACACTCCAGGGTAGGGTTTGACTATTTCTGGCACAATTCCCAATTATACCAAGTGCTATAAGAAATACCATTTTGCATGCTATTGTAAATGGAGTGTGGGCAGCGAAATGGCGAAACTGAATGTACTGTAAATACATAAAGAATATTTGAACCTATGCTGTGGTATTCATTTTATGTTGGAAGCTAGACAGATGGAGCTGGGGAAGAAATTGGAGGATACAATTTACATAGTTACAAAGTTAAATAGTATTTGAAATTGACTAAAGACACAGGTCCATCAAGTTCAAGCTTTGTGTGTCTGTGTGTGTTGTGCATGTGTATGTGTGTACATGAGTCCCTGTGTGATCTTAGTTTTTAGGCGTACCTGTACTCCTGTATGTTACAGTCTCTGAGGAAGGTATCTCATTGATTTTTAAATGAATCAATATTCTCTGCTGATACTACTGCTTGTGGCAGAGAGTTCCAAAATTTACCCCCTCTGACTGAAAAGAAGCCCCTATGCCCTTTATAGTTAAATCTCTTCTCCAATG